CTTTCCCTAGAAAGCTGGGTCCTTAGCATACAGTAAGAAAAGAAATCATTAGTGTTTAGCAGTACTTGCTTGGTTTTATTTTGCATTAGTTATGTCTGTGTAAGTTGCACTACATTAACTTGCAATGAAATAATAAGAAAAAACTTTAAATCTTCTTCAAAAATCATTGATACCGGGTAACTTTGATATAATAAGAAATTTTAGTCTTTCTGGAAAGGAAAATGTTTCCAATAGCTGTTGACTCGTTTCTTTGGTGGCTAGTAGGAGGAACTAGACAGTGTCTTAGACAGAAAGGGCATGGGCAATCTCTGTATATAATGGTATATGAAGTTCATATCAGCAGTAGAATTGTTCTTAAAATATTTTATTTTTAAAGGTTACATGAACATCACGTCAGGCTAGGTTAGTTTTCTCCTTTTCAAATGCGTTAACTTTCATGAATTGATGCATGTATGTTTCTAATTTTCTATTGAGAAAAGCATAGTATGTGCCACAGTGGCAATCTCTATCTGCATAAATGCTCTAGGCGCTTTTGCTACAAACTGCATTGTTTCCATTCTCACAAACAATTTAGTTTATTTCCATTCAATTATAATCCTGTCCTGATATACTGGGGTGCATTCATATCTTACGAATGGCTTTCCATACCTATTTGTGCATAAAGAATAAAGGGTATGATGCTGTTCACAAGAGTTTTGATAAATTATTTTTTTTAAATGAATCCTGAGGGACAGCCTGAATGTGCCTGCAGCAGGAGGTGTGGTTCTCTCCAGAGAAGCACTCAGCTGAAGGGGGCTGGTTCTCTGCTCCTTACAATACAGTAAATATTTCTTTTCTCTTATCCACTTAGCAGCTAAGATTTGCCCAGATCTCCTGAAACATGCTTGTTTTGCTACTAGTGTCAGGTGATTTTGGAATAATTTAAGAATCCCACCAGGCTGTGGAAATCCATTATCTTCCCAGAGGAGCTTTTCATTACAGGAGTGTTATTCTTTGTATAACTACAGTGTTGGGGACAGAATGATTTGGGGAAGGATCCATAGTGGGATATGGATCCCTTCACCCCTAGGTCATGCATTCACAGGCAAGTTGGCTGTGATTGAAAGACTCGGCTGCATAATGGTTCCTTGGGGACTCATCTCAAAGTAGCTAATGGATTCAGTATAGGTCTCACTGGGTAGGTGGTCACAGTAGAAGTGAACCCTACCCCATCCCATGCAGCAGTTGCTGGCAATCTGACTGGCAGTGTCAGCAGAGAAATCAAAGATGGAGGTGACCATTGAGGCTCTGGATTGAGGTTGTTGCCAGGGCAGCGTATGTGTGCATATTAGGGAAGCCTTGCGTGTCTCTCCCGTAATTGTTTGCTAGTAACATCTTATTTCCGGCACACTGAATTCCGTCTGCTTGTGAAGCACTATGTTTGTACGTGTATAGGTAGTCCTTAGTATAGGATTTATTTACAATAGAGGTACTGCAATATTGAACTGTTATTGTACACCATAGTTTTGCGTGACTTTACCTCTTGTTCTCAAGCCCTTAGCTGTTTACGATTATTTGGCACCTCACAAGTGGAGAGAGTCTTCAAAAGAGTAATTATGCAAGGCACAGTTCTTGGCTGTGTTCCTCCTTTGTTGCCAGTGGTGTTTTTTCCTTTGAATTCCCTTAGTCCACGGAGTAGAATGAACTGGGCACTTGGAAGCAGGGACGATGATGTGTTGAATAAAGGTGGACTACTAGCTGTCAAAATAATGTGTCATTTTGGAGATCATAAGTTAAGAGGAGCAGAGGAACACACAATGAGAGATGGCCATAAAAAGAAGAAAGCTCATTATGAACCTCATTAGCTTAGACACCATGGAGAGATTTGAGAAGTGTAATACTTTATGTCTTCAGGTTAAAATACCTTGCAACTGTCTTCAAAATTAAAGTCCTTCCTAGCAGTAACTGTCACTTGAACAAGCAAAGACTTGCCAGCATTAGCAATAACTAAAAAAGCACATTGCATTCTCATAGTCCTCACAGCCTTCTCTTATCCTTTATAAGCAAGGACATGAGAGGGGAGATAATACATTCTGTTGCACGCTTTATTCCTGATATTGTCTGTGACCGGCATGCATGCTTTGCTAGTGTAAAATGGATCTAACAATGTTTGTTCACTAAAAGAAATTACCTTGGGTACTGCTGGTGAGACAGCAGATATGAGTATTCAGTACTTTGACAGAATGTAAAATACCTCCTGAGGAGGCAGAAATTAATCATAAGTTAGTTTGACAGATAACGTGTATATGTATTATGAGCCATTTTAGCTGAAGCATTCATCTAGGGTATTTTGTCCTGTAATGAACAGTGAACAATGGTAGGAGAGAGATCCTGAGTCTGATTGTGTTGCTAATATAGCAAAGATAGTCAGCAGTTAACTTTGTGTTTCCTCCTGATCAGCCTGCAGGTGTGGTTTGGCCCAAATTATAAGTCACAGCAGTACACTGACCTGTGCAGTGCTTCTCCTCCTGACATTCCTCCTGCTCCTTTTTGTCCTGCATTAGCAACGTCATTCTTGTGCTCACGTGAACCTATTGTCCTTTCACTGGTCTTCATTGTGTAGCTATACTGAGGCTAGAACTTACTTACAGCTGGTAAAAGCATTGGAAATCCATGTAAAACCTAATCTTCTCCTATGAAAACAGTTTACAGAAGACAAAGAATTCTAGTCCTGCAGTGTGTCCTCTCCTCTCACTGCTGCTGTTAATGCCTTTGGCTGGGGGGGGCAGGTGTGCAGCCTGGGTACAGAGCTGCTGGGGTGACAGGAGGTACTTTATGCAGTGAGTGACCTAGACTGATGTCTAACTGCTGATTTGGCTTTTTAATGTTGTTTTAAATTATATCTTCACCAGGGTCCAGAGCATTCATCCGCCAGGCCTGAGAGGTTTCTGCAGATGAGCAATGATGATTCTGATGCTTATCCAGTAAGTAGATTTGTCAAAGGCCATGTCCTTTTTTTTGTTCTTCACTTCTCAGAGAATTTTTTTTTTTTTTTTGGTAAGAAGCATCCATTTTAGCTGGGTATAGTGGGTTAAGATTAAGCTTCAAGAGTTGGTGTAACTCTTAATGTGATCCCAGTGAAAGTAATGCAGTATGTGCTGCTTCATTTCAAAGCTGAGATCATATTCAATTAATCTCTGGCAGCATGATCTTTTTATAACTGTTCCTCAGGGCCAGTGATTCTCCGTGTTTATATTGCTGTGTGTACTGTAAATAGGTGTCCAAAAGGAGGCCGAGTGAGACTATTCCTGGCTTTTTGCATTGGAGATAAATTGTGCTGCTGGGAACATGCAAATAAGCAACTTCTAAATTTGATTCAGCTAAGACCTTCCTATGTTGGTCATTAATTTCTACAGATTAAGTACATATGTCTACAGGATGCTGAGCATCCAATTCCCTATTGCAGATTTCCTAAGAAACACTGCTGTACGTTAATTGGAAAGCCCCCTAATTTAAAAAAAAAAAAAAAAAAAAAAAAAAGGATGTTTCAGTTTTGGCTCTGAGGTTTTTATTATTTGGGGCAATAATAGTTCCAAAGCCACGTTCCTCCTCATCTGAAAATTATTTTTGTCAGTATACTGGTAGAATAAAGGCCTGTTTGATTGACTACATTTAAGCAATGTCAATTGCACGTAATAACATGTTATCACAGAAGGTAGGAGCTCAAACCATGGACCGGGAAATCATGTTAGATGTTGTACCGATCTGTAATGAGATTATTGTACTTAAACCTATTTGTATGCTTACCTATGTCCATAGTTACATACACATGCATAAAACCCCCTGTAGTTCTAAAATACTTAAATATAAAACACATTAAATTTATGTATTAAAATAATATGAAAAGATAGGACATCTATCTAAAAATGAGGGAGAGGGAGGGTTACCCACACTCAAAAAATTAATTATAGTTTTAAGATTCTTTCAAAGGGGTTCTATTTTGTGTCTTCCACCTACTGAAGTCCTAGTCTTCCTCACCCTTCCTTCCTGGACTTCCCAGCTTGCTGAAATTAATGGAAGCTTTTTTCATTTATTTGTTTACATTTTTGGTAAGAAGTAGAAACAGAAGAGAATGATTTGCAGGGATGCTTCCCTAGCTAATAATATAATCTCAGCAGAGGTCTGCTAATTAAGTTTTTTGAGGAAGGGAGTTGCTGAGAGTCAGAAATAAAAGGATGGCTCTCAGGCATTTTTTTTCTGATCTCTTAGACATTTTTCTAATGCCTTTAATGTCTCTCTTAGGAGTTCAGTGAGCAGTTTGAAGTTTCCCAGCTGTATGAGTGCAACTGGATTGTGGTGAATTGTTCAACTCCAGCCAATTACTTTCACGTCCTCAGAAGGCAGATCTTGCTGCCATTCAGAAAACCGGTAAAGTTACTGTAATGGACTTGATTATTCTAGGAATATTAACCCTCACATAAAGAGGGCTCTTTGTTTGCATATGAGATACTGCTGAAAAGAACAAGAATCATTAGTGAAAAACCTTAAAGGAGCACAAGTTGAAGTCGCTGATTTAATGGAATGAAACTCAGCTCTGATTTACTGCCATTCTAAAACTCAGTTTTACTTCCTTCTGGCTGTGCAGACCTTCAGATGAGCTTGTTGAGACACTATGTAGCTAACAGATTGCGTAACTATAATCTGCATGTGTAATTGCTGGAACTTCAAAAACCTAAGATACAACTGTTGGATATTTTATTGGTTCATAGCCTGTGATTTGATTTTATTCTCAAAGAGAAGCATAAGCAATGGTTTTTTGAGAAATTTTAAAGGGAGTGGACTACCCAAATCTTTTGAACATTTTTGAAACTTCATAGGCTTTCAAAACAGGAAAAAAATAGATTACTGTGTTTGCTATTCACATTAATTTGATCTATAGATTATTCAGTTTGTGGTTTTTGTATGAACAGTGTTACAAATATTGCATGTGATAATGTAGAAGAAGCAGCTCCTGAGTGTTGGAAAAATTTCTGTCTTACAGCTGATTATTTTGACACCCAAGTCACTGCTGAGGCATCCAGAAGCTAAATCCAGTTTTGATGAAATGGTGTCTGGTAGGTTATCTCAAAGTATTATGGACAAATAATCAGCTGTATCAAGCCGCATGCCAGACTGTGAAGAAGGGAATCTGCTCTGGAGAGTTTGCCTTTTCCTTTGTTATAATTTCTGTGAAGCTGTTGTAGTGAGATCTAGCATGGACTTTTGCGGAAAAGTCTGCTTTCAAGTGTGGATTCTTAATTTTGACAGGCTTATCTGGTAACCAACCATTAATCTTCAAGGCAGTGGAAAGTTCATTCCCCTTTCTGCAGGGGTCTTCCCCTCAGTAGGCTATTAGGTCCCTCTGCTCTTTTTCTTTTCATATAAAAATTGAACTTTTCTTTGTAGTGCCTGCCCCTCCCCCAGCCTCCCAATGTGACAGTTGTAATCACACTGTGCCCATTTGGAAGAATGAGGGGCACATTCTTACAATACTGAGTTCTGGGGCTGCCATGTCATGCCAGTGATCTAAAGTGAGATCAGTGCTTTTAGAGCTGTAGGTTACCACCCTAGCTGCTGTCAGCATGCCATCAGCACCAAGAAGTATAGAGCAGCTGCAGAGGTAATACCAAAAATGGGAGTGATGTGTCTTGCTATGCACTAGTTAGAACATGTCAGAGTGGCATGAGGAAATGAAGTGAAATGCAGTGAGTGAGTGATTAAAATGATTGTTCAGAGTGAAAGCATGTGCATAGGTATAGTGATCTTTCTCCAGTTGTAGCAGGTGTCCTGCCTGCTGCCGGAGAAGAGTAACTGCTCAGTTTTTAAAAGCAAGTTACAGTGTATGAACTTGCTTAAATATTGCGTTATTTCCTTTTTGTAGGGGAGTAAAGTTTGCTTCTCAAGCAAAGACTTGCTGATTTGGATTACTGTTTAAAAGCTTTGTAGAATGAGTCAGATTAGAAATTCTGTAAGGACTGTGATTTTTCATTTTGTTTTGGGAGTCCCTTCTACTTCAGGCTAGCTGTCAATAGTGGCCAAACTCCTAATTAACATTGAATTCTGACATACTTGCTGATGAAGAGGACAAAAAGTAAAGTATTGCTGATTCTCAACTGGCTCTTTTTGCTCTGTTTTTAATGGAAACCAGAGGAGAGGAAGGCTGACTCTCGCTGACCCAATGAAGCGCAGATTCAGTCTTTTTTAATGATGAATTCTGCTGTTCAGTGAGACAGGATAATTCTGACATAAATCAGTTCCTCTTTCATGTTTGTGCTGCTGCTTTTCTCCCCCCAAGATAAATGGCTCAAACAGGACCTTATTCTCCTGGTAAGTGGGTGTGCTGATTCAGACTGGGAGGTCATGCCACTGTCTGCTTCCTTGCAGTTGGTTAATGTGGGAATAGTTCTAATCAATCATATAAGAGAGCAAAGAAAATTATCTTTTAGACCATCAAGTCCCTCTTCCAGTTTCATGTATCCTAAGCAAATTGTTCTCTTGGGAGATGATATCACAGGGGAAAAGATATCTAGCAGTGAGGATATGCATCTGAAATGTATCTTATCACTTATAAGTATGACTCAGTACTATGCTAATTCTTCCTTTGGCTAATGCTGTTTTAGCTCTCAAACAGAGGTTTAAATCACATAAATATATGGCAGTAATGTGTGTGCTTGTGTAAATACTTCTGCAGGTGCCACATTTAGTTGCATTATGAATGTGTGCTATGCTTTTATATAAAAAATGTTTTAAAATTTTCTAAACCTATATTAATGTTACATGGTTGAGATCATCTTGGAAAGAAGAAACAATATTTCAGATAATTCTCTGAAAAAAACTCTAAGCAAATGTGAGCTATCCAATCAATTTAAAATTAAAGGTGTAATGCATAACACAAAGCTAAAAAAGAATCACTGTTAATATGTTTCTATTAAGTGTGAAAGAGTGCATTATTGACAGTCTTTTAAATTCTTGAACCTAAACTGCTGAAAGTCACTTTAGCAGAATTGCCACTCTGGACAGTAGGAGTAGAGATGTAAATATTGCACTGAGAGACCATGACCATTGCAAACTGCTGGTTGCTCAGTAAAGGACTATTTCTTGGGCTGCTTTATTACCATGTCAGTTCCTCTGAGAGCACTTCTCTAATTTGTGCTCTGACTAGGTACCACTTTCCAACGCGTGATTCCTGAGAATGGGTTGGCAGCTCAGGCACCACATGAGGTCAAGCGAGTGATTTTCTGCACAGGAAAAGTGTACTATGATCTTGTAAAAGAGAGAAAGAATCAAGACCTGGAGAAAGAAGTAGCTATAACCAGACTTGAACAGGTGAGCTCCCTGATCCTCAGAAGACAGGGTCCTTAGGGAGACTTTCAGCAAGGGGTTCCTATGCTTTTAAATAGATAGCACTTGCCAGAAAGGGTGGTGATAGTTAGCATTTTTATAGCACTTTGCATCTGAAGACATTATCTAATCCTTCATGGCCTTGTGGAGAGGGAACACATGAACAGTATACTGGACAATAAGATCCAATGACTTTTCCAGAAGAATGTAACAAAGTAAAGGTTACAATATGATGTCACCTTAAATTTGTATATCCAATCTGGTAGGTTGAAATGTTGTGAATAGTACACTTTGCAGCTATATTATCGTTCACTATTTAAGGACTTCTATTGTTGCAGCTATTTCACTAAGAAAACTGTGGGAAAGCAGGAGATCTGGACTATGACGTACTTATGTTCATACTGGTGCAACTATAAAATATGTGTATTCGTTTCTGACAGCATGAAATCAGAAAAATATGAGCCACTTTAAAGAACGTATGGCAATTATATTAGGTACTAAATAGTTAATTACAATGGTTGCTTGTAATACTCGATAGGTAGAAGGCTTTCCTACCATGAGCTAACGCCATGTAAGAGAAAGCTTTGCTAGTTATTACCCTCTCTTTCCAGATCTCACCATTCCCCTTTGACCTGCTGAAAGAAGAACTGGAGAAGTATCCAGGTGCTGATCTAGTTTGGTGTCAGGAGGAACACAAGAACAGTGGATATTATGATTATGTCAAACCTCGTTTCCGCACTATTGTGAACCACACTCGACCTATATGGTATGAGACTTTAAACAGTTGCTCTGTCTTCTGGACTGATTTGTTTGCTTTTAAATTTGGCTGGTTTGGTTTTTTGTTTGTTTTTTTTTTATTATTTTATTTGAGGATGTTGTTCATGGGGAAGCCAGGTTCTTCACAAACCAAAACCTCTGAGTTTAGGGTTCTTGGGTGAAGGAGGGATAAGTCTAGATGACTGTTTCTCAAATACATCATGCATATCTTGCTCCTCCTTGTAGTTCTACAAGGAAATCAGTAGCAACTAGCTCTGTATGTATTGCCACTTAGCAGAGCACCTAGCTCTCCTGGATTTTTCTCTCTTGTTCTCTAAGATTCTGTCTTTTTTAAGAATTTAACTCCAAATATTAGGCTTCTAGAGGAAGCAGTTGTTATAGACCTCAGTCCAGGCACCTTTGCATTTATTTGACATGATTGACTCTTGGATCTGCCCATGCAGCTGTTGGAGGAATGAGAGTGTACATCACCAAAAGCAAGTTATCTAATTATGAGATAGTGTAGCTGGCTGCTCTGGGAGGGATGGGGGAGAAGACACAGCTCAACATTGATGGGACGGGGAAAAGAAGCGGAAGCTGACCAGAAGGTGTAACTGATGGTGCAACTTAGATTGATTTTTATTTAAGAAAGACTGATGATTAGATGTGCAACTCTGCCAACTTGACTTGAATGCATTTGGCAGCATGTTCTCATGCTTTTTAGTGTCAAAATTGTCTTTTTCTCACCTCATTTGTCTGCCCAATTCTTTTTGTCACAAAGGTATGTTGGCCGAGAGCCTGCTGCTGCAGCTGCCACAGGCAACAAGAACATGCATCTGGTGTCGCTCAGAAGGTTCTTGGATACAGCTTTCAACCTGGAAGCCTTTGAGGGAAAGACGTTCTAACTGCAGACACCAACCCACTTCTGTCTAGTAGTCTCTCAAATCACTGCATCCAACAGAGGAAATAAAAGTGGGAAAAATTATCAGATCAGATGTTTTATCAGATAGAACAATCCAGCAACTGACTTCATTACTCTGCACCTTGCTCCCCAGTTTGTAAGGAAAAAAAATACTTCTAAATTACCTTCCACTGTTTTTTATCACTTGTCTGTTTAGGTTGGGACCTCTTTGGCCCCAGGAGAGTCTCCTATCCAAGGATCCAGTGTCTAGCTCAGTGAGGCTCCAGTCTCAGTCTGCAGGCAGTGTCTAATTACTCTGAGTAAGTAGGGCAGGCGTGGACAGCATGATAGTTATGCACATCCCTGAAATAGAAGAGAGTATGTTTGCGAGCCACTAAGGAAACAAGATGCATTGCAACAAGGAAAATGGTTGACAGTTGTTTCTAGATGTATTGGAGAGGAGTAATGAAACCAAAAAACAAAGAGTTGATAGATGACTTTAGTAGAGAAACGTACTGGCAGTGGTTGTTGGAAGAAGATGGTGAGGTAGCCTGGTGAAGTGAGGAGGAGGCTGGAAATAGGGAGTCAGATTACAAAGTTGCTAAACTATGAGTGATAACAAAAGTGGTGCAGACCACTTAGGTATAAAGTGGGGGAGAGTGATGAAGGCAGAAATAAAAGGGACCAAGAATACCAGGGTTTGTTGGGGGTAGTTGAGGAGGGATGAAGTCTACACAGGACCACAACTGACAGAACAGCGGGTGATCAGCAGGAGAATTCAGCATCAAATGACTTCAAAAGTAAGAGGTGACAGCGCCAATTGCTCCCACTCCCTAGGCTGTCTCCTTTGGTGCTCTGAGGTATTAGGGAACTGTGGTGTCCTGTGAAAAATCCTCATTTTGGATGAACACTCTTAAACTACTAGGATCTGCTTTTCTTTGACCTGGTAGCACCTGTAAAAAGTTTGTATTTGTATGAGAAATCTGTGTGTGTGCAGCAACTGATGGGTTCTCTGCTTTGTTCAGTGCTAATCCCTGCCTCAAATCTCCTTGCTGATATTAACTCAGCTCTGAAGTGGCAATTCCTGAGTCACCCTTTTTTATGTTAAGAGGAAGGCGGACAAGCAACAGTTGCTGATTGACCAAAGGCACATGCTGTGGTTTTGTACAAGTAGTGATTTTTTTTTTTTTTGCCTTGTATTTACTTGTCAATTAGGGTATCAATTGCCATGTACTTTCAGTATGGACATAAAAGTGAACTGCCTCTAAGAGCTGGCTCTGTGTAAGGTGGCTGGTGTACAACAGGTGCTGCAGGGGTGAGAACAGTAGCGGTGGCTTCTCTTCTCAGGAGATAGTGCTTGGCTTCCTGGGAGGCACTGCACAGCTGGGTGGTCTCAGGGTGCCACTGCTTGTACTTCTTCCACAGTGCTAGAAAGCAGGTGGGCACAGCTTTCCTCTCCCCTCTTAATATAAGAACTAGTTTTGTCACAAGTGCTGTTTCCTCTGCCTCAGGAGAACCTGGGTCTGGGTGAACCTTGTGACTGCAGGTTTCTGCGACGCTGGACTATGTAGTGGCAGGAGACTTCTTTCTGCTAGCTGGCAGAGGAAACTGCTCAATTAACAGTGTAAGTGGTGTAGTAAGATGCAGAGGAATGACCATGCCTGTGTTGAGGGGGGAAGCATTAACTAGCTGCACAAGGGCCCTGTGCTCCTGCAGTGCCTGGAGGGTTTTGCTAGATCTGCGCAACAGCCACTTTGATACATCATAACAAGTGACTGGAAACACAAAGATGAGATTGCACCTCCATCTCCAGTTCCCCATCCTGAGCATGCTCCTGGACATGCTTGTGTTCTTGGCAGTAAGTTTTACCCTGCTGCTGCTATATTGGCTGGGAGAGAATAAGGCTTGACAGTTTATGCCTGTTTCAGTCAGGGCATGCTGGAAAGCTTCTTGTCTCATCAAAATAAAAAGCTTTATTAAGAACTTTTAGCTCTGATCAGGTACTACTTGTCCAAGCACGTTACCAAAAAGGGATGTGTGCCTTATGCTGTCGCCTTATTTGGCCCAGAGACAACGTGATGGTAAAAAAAAAAAATAAATCTTTCTGTCAGAGCATAAAATTGATGTGGTAAGGTATTTACCAAGGGATCCAGAACCAAACTTAGTCTAATTTTGATGAAACCCGGTAGCATTCTTTTAAATCAGGCTGATTGCCTTGGGGTTTTTCTCTCTCTGAAACATTGAAACTAATTCAGTCTTTTGAAACCTAATGAACTTGGGAGTACTGCAGCTGACAGCAGCATTTCTGTAGCTCATAGCATTAAGCTGATAGGCAGTAACCATCACACAAAGTATTTTAATGCTTTTATGAATGCTTGTTTCTGTGGCAAGAATTGAGTGCAGCTAAATATTGCTGGCACCATTTATTGTATTCTCTGTTTGCATAAGGCAGGTCAGTGCTGCATGAAATCTGATAAATGCATTTATGCCACAGTATATGCAGAGGTAGAAAACAAAATTAACATAAAAATGTAAGTGGTAAATGACAGGTTTACATTTTCATTGTGTATCATAGATTGTGGCATAATAGTTGCATAAAAATTCCATCAAAGAATGTAAAAAACGCCCCAAAATAAAAACATGTAAGAAAAAAATTCTCTGTTATTGCTGTTCTTTTTGACAGTTTCTCCTTTGAGTGCTGGCATTAGCATCCCATTCGTAAGAGTGCCAGGGCAGTTCATTTTTCTGTTTTTTGTTTGTTACCTCAATAATATTTTTTTTTAAATGTAGCAGCAGTGAGGGAGTCAGTGTTTGGACTAGAAAAAGGTAATTATTCAAAACCACTGGGTTAAAAGTAATAATAACATTGAGGTTATATTAGAATATTTTGTTTTATTCGATTCTAATTTTTTATGGTAATAAATTAGGTGAACACATTTCTACTAAAAGCAGAATTTTTAAAATACTGGAACTAGACTGGAATTGATTTCTCTAATTTCGTAACACATGTTGGCTCAACATATGTTTCTGTTGAATTACTTTCCCTGTTACCTGCACCTTTAGATTGTAAATGTTCGAAAGTTACTAATGTATTGTAAATTGATAAATGCAGAGATTATACTTGTTTGCAGAATTCTGCTCCTTTTCTTCAACAAGGCCCCTTGAATAAAAACTCTTACAGAGAGTTCTTAAATAGGTGCACATTAAATAGGTGCATTATCAACAATTAATACAGGATTCTGTAATGGCAGCTTTAAACCAGGCTAAGAATATCTCTCTGATCTTGCAGAAAACAAGTACTTGCTAGAACTAGCTGACAAGTTAAATACAAGTTAACATACTAAATATCAATCTCTGTAGAATGTTTGAAAAGGACTGAAGTGGTGTTATTAGCCTCTTCTGCAAGTAGTCTGCACTGAAATTCACATCAAAGCTTTGTAACTCAGAAGGAAGAAATAGCAGATGAGAGAATCAATTGACTTCATCGTATTTGTGGGTGAAATACTACATCATGCATGCCCACAGCAGCAAAAGACTTGCTAAGACAAACAGCTTCTGTCACAGCATTACTTTTGTTTCCTAGTAGCTACCTGATGAACTGCGCTAACAGCAGGGGTGTGCTTGGTGGAAACATTTGCTCTACCCATGGTACAGTTGGAGTCAGTCTGGTAGAGCAGAGGAGCAACCTGTTCTCTGGGAAGAGAATTCTGCTTGTTCTAGGAGATAAAAATTAATGTATGAGACTAGACAAGGAACAGGAATGTGTATGCATTGTTTGAACTGAGTAGATGAAACTGTGTGTGTGTGTTGGGGGTGGTGGTTGTTTCTTGGTTTTGTTTTTTGTTTTGTTTTTTAAGAAACCCTTGGCTGGACCCTCTGGCCACTGTCTTAAGAACTGTGGTAGCTCTCACCTTGGTGCACAAACAGCAGACCTGCTGCCTCTGATACAGAGCTGGGAATAACCAGTGCTGCTAATAACAACAAAGTGAATGCTGGGGAATCTCGGCTCCACACACACGCACATGCACACACACACACAGTTAACCTTATGCAGGTGTCACAGACTACAGGTCTGGTCAAAGATGGAGGAAAAGTCTGTTATTGTCTTATATGTTGCTTTGGTGAATTCAGTATGTTTTAGTTTTACAGGCAACTCCAATGCACCTGCCAGGCAAGTTACCCAGCACAGGTGACCACTTAATTATGGCTGGTGGGACTGGCCTGTGCGGAGATAGCCAAGCAAGCACTGCCTGTTGTTACCTGGTTAAAGCCCAGGGTTTGGTTCCAGCTGGCCTATCTCTATCTCCTTTGCACCATCCCCTGAACAATTCAAATGCTTCACCTTTTTTTGACAGAATGGAGGGCTGTGGCTGGGTCCCTGGGCATCTGCAGGGGGTCCCTGCAGGGCATTTCCTGCTGTTTCTGCTGTCGGAAGGACTAGAGTTATGGTGTTAAGCTATGGCGAAGGAGGCTGAGGACAGCTGCTGGGAAAGGCTCAGGAGGGAAAGGGGGCCACAGGCTTTCCGCTGCTGGCACTTTCTACGGGCAGGTAAGAGACCTGGCTGGTAGGAGGTGGGTAGGGGTGACTCATCCTGCCCTTGGGGTGAAGGGAACACCGTCCTTTGAATTAGTATCAGGGGTTCTGAGGACCTGTTGAAAACCCCACAGTGTGGCCATGGATTTCTGAGGCAAGCCACTGTCAAAAGCTGCTCAGGATGTAACATGCTGCCTCTTGCAGTGCTAGTGCAGTGAGGTTGGTTTGGAAAAGGTGAGGAAGCCTTTGAGTGAAAGATGGCAGAGAAATGCATGGTTTTTTTAAAAAACAACAAACCAAACTCTTTAAAAATTAATTATCTTTCCCTGAGAGGAGGTGAAGAATGACCTGCCCTTTGCCACGCTACAGCAATCATCCTCACCAGGCAAGGTCTGCTGGGAGGGACTGGACTGCTGCTCTTCCTGCTCTCTGTCCTGTGGACAAGATTTCAGGTCTTGAAGCTTTGATCAGTACCTGAGATACAACCTTGCTGTGCTGATGAAAACATGGACCATTGTAGCACATGAAAAAAAATTTGCAAGTATCTTTCTACCCTTGTTCTTGGGTAATAAGGGAGTGAGTAGTATAACTACAACA